TCTCCTATCCTATCTTATTCTTTTGTCCTGTCCTGTCCTGTCCTGTCCTATTCTTTCTTCTCTGCTTCTACTTCTCTCATTCTTTTCCTCCCTCCTCCTCCTTCTCTTCTCTTCTCTTCTCTCCTATCCTATCCTATTCTTTAGTCCTGTCCTGTCCTATTCTTCCTTCTCTGCTTCTACTTCTCTCATTCTTTTCCTCCTCCTCCTCCTTTCTCTTCTCTTCTCTTCTCTCCTCTCCTATTCTTTTGTCCTGTCCTGTTCTATTCTTTCTTCTCTGCTTCTACTTCTCCCATTCTTTTCCTCCTCCTCCTCCTCTCTCTTCTCTTTTCATTCCTGTTCTGTTATGTCCTGTCCTGTCCTGTCCTATCCTTTCTTCTCTGCTTCTACTTCTCCTCCTCTCCTCCCTTCCCTTCCCTATTCTATTCTCCTTCATCTGTTTCTTCTTCTCCCATTCTTCTCCATCTCCTTCTCCTCCTCCTCCTCCTCCTCCTCCTCCTCCTCCTCCTCCTCCTCCTCCTTCTATTCCTATTCCTATTCCTATTCCTTTTCCTTTTCCTATTCCTATCCAATCCATTCCATTCCATTCCATTCTATTCTCCTTCCTTTGCTTCTACTTCTCTCATTCTTCTCCCATTCCCATTCCCATTCCCATTCCATATATACATACATATAAAAGATATGTGGACAATACAATATAGGAGATAATACATTAAAAGATAATAAAATCACCATACTAAGGAGCCATTGAACTGCAACAGGATAGTTGTTATCATTTGTTAATGAAAACAAATAATAACATTTCTTTTCTCTTTATTTTTCTTTTCTCACGAAAAGAAAAACAAAGCAGAGGGGATATGGCACAAGGGACGAAAACCAGCATGAACAAGGTAAAAAAAAAATGCAAAAAGAATGCAGGTATCCTAGAAATCAGGCAAGTCACAAAGAAAACGACGCACGGAAAGGCGAGGAAACCCTTAAACACAACCACGGAACCTTGGAAGCCTTCCAAGCTTAAAAGCTCCAGAAACAAAACCACAACCTGCCCCGGGAATCATGTTTCGCAACCCATCACTGCCACTTAACCGTGGTGGATCGTTTCCAACTGGGTTTAGCTACAAAAACAGCAGACGGGCTCCTCCCGTCAGCATCCTGGAGCCCACAGCCATAAATGCAAGCAAGACGAAAGACCGGCCTAAGGTATGACCACACAAAGGGTCATAAATTTAGCGATTTAGTTCTCCTGGTGGGTTTGTCACAGGAGACGGGGAGGCGAACCTTTCCACTTGCCTGGCTGAAGGATGGCTGGCCAGCCCTTGTTTGATGCGTTTAGGGCAGTCCAGGGATGCTGGGACTTTATGTATCTGCCAAAGAAAACCATTGGGGGGGGTCATTCCTAGCGGAGCTCCAGGTTTAAGTCCCTAGGTGCAAAATGCAGGGGTCGGAGATCAGGTTTTTTTTTTTATCCAGGATCCATCTGGCAGTTCTGAAGCAGCCTCCAAATTCCTTCCTTCCTTCCTTCCTTCCTTCCTTCCTTCCTTCCTTCCTTCCTTCCTTCCTTCCTTCCTTCCCATCTTTCTCCTTCCTCCCTCCCTCCCCTCATCTTTCTCCTTCCTTCCTTCCTTCTGCCCTCCCTCCCTTCTTCTCAACATCTCTTTGCTTCCTTCCTTCCTCCCTCCCTTCTTTCCTCCCACCCTTTCTCCCACGCTACTTCTCTCTCTCCTTCCTTCCTTCCCGTACTCTTTCCTTTCTCTTTTCTTTCCTTCTTTCCTTCCTTCCTTGCTCCTTGCTTCCTTCCTCCCAGTCTCTCCCTCACTTTCCTACTTTTTCCTACTCTCCCTTTCTTTCTTTCTTTCTCTTCCTTCCCTTTCTCTCTTTTTCTTTTTCTTTTCTTTCTTTCTTTCCTTCCTCCCTCCCTTCCTTCCTCGCACCCTCTCTCCCTTAGTTCCCACTCTCCCCTTCTTCCTTCCTTCCTTTCCTTTCCTTTCTCCTTCCTTCCTTTCTTTCTTTCCTTCCTTCCTCTCTTGCTTCCTTCCTCCCACCTTCTCTCCCTTAGTTCTCACTCTCTCCTTCTTCCTTCCTTCCCTTTCCTTTCTCTTTCCTTTCTTTCTTTCCTTCCTTCCTCCTTCCCACCCTCTCTCCTTCACTACTTCCTATTCTCCCTTCCGTTCCTCCTTCCTTTTTCTTTCTTTCTTTCTTTTTCTTTCTTTTCTTCCTTCCTTCCTTATCTTTCCTCTCTCTTTTATCTTTTTCTTTCCTTCCTTCCACCCTCCCTCCCTCCCATCCTCTCTCCCTCACTACTTCCTACTCTTCCTACTCTTCCTTCCTTCCTTTTTCTTTCTCTCTTATCTTTCTTTTTCTTTCCTTCCTTCCTTCCTTTCCCCCTTTCCTCGCTCCCTCCATTCCTCCCTCCCTCTTTTTAAAAGTTTTGACTCTTGGCAACTACCTGGCCAATCTCCTACATTTTTCTTGACAAGATTTTGGGAGAGGTTTGCCCTCATCCCTTCCTTGGGGCTGTCTCTGTGCCTCAGGTGGGACTAGAACTCAGCAGCAAATGGGTCAATTTTGAGGGGATGTGGCTGTTTGCTATTTTAAGCAAAAGCAAGGATAGAAATGGAAAACTTTGAGAGATCTGACCTCAAAACGTTTCAGCAATTTATAAGCCATTAACGCAGGTATTCAAGAATTCTAAATAAAGAAACAGGAATTAAACAAGACTGCGCCGATCTCATGTTCCCTCGAGAGAATGAAGAACATTTGCATAACAACAAATACTGAAATCTATTTGGATTGGCAGATATGCTGGAAACAAAGAATTGCTACCTTCAAACTACAATCTTACCTAATTACGGAAGGTCCTTGGTCCTTTCTTTCTTTCTTTCTTTCCTTCCATCCATCCTTCTTTCTTTCTCTTTCCTTCCTTCTTTCCTTCCATCTTTCTTTTTCTTTCTTTCCTTCCTTCCATCCTTTTTCTTTCTCTCTCTTTCTTTCTTTCCTTTTTTCTTTCTTTCCTTCCATCTTTCTTTTTCTTTCTTTCCTTCCTTCCATCCTTTTTCTTTCTCTCTCTTTCTTTCTTTCCTTTCTTCTTTCTTACCTTCCATCTTTCTTTTTCTTTCTTTCTTTCCTTCCTTCCATCCTTTTTCTTTCTCTCTTTCTTTCTTTCCTTTCTTCTTTCTTTCCTTCCTTCCTTTCCTTCTTTCTTTTCCTGTCTTCCTTCCCTCCTTCCCTCCTCTTCATCTTCCCTTCCTCCCTCCCTCCCTCCCTCCCACCTATCCATCCATTAAAATATTTATTCTATTATTATTTACAATTGGTGGTATTGATTGTAAGCTGGAGAGCTATCTCCAAAGACAGAAGATAAATAATTGATATAAATGCATAAATAACAAGGAGGAAAATAAGCTAGACAAACACGGAATGCATTTTGAAGAGTTCTTCCATTGGGAACAAAATGTGTAGCACCATCGTTGTCTGTTTGCGCGACCTTGTATTTGTTGTTGTGTTGTTGGGTCTGCTATTGATTAAATTTAAATGTTACAAGCTGCCAAATGTCAGTGGAAGGGAGTAGGATATAACATTTTTAAAACGGTACAGACACTGTTCTATGCTCAAAAAAACCGAGTTGCATTCACACAACATTAATCCCAGTTATTCAACCATCTATTTTCTAGATTTGTACAACTGAATAAAAGCAGGAACCGCAACGAAACATGCGGCTTAACACTAAATAAGCTAGCAGGCCCTATGAATCCATCGATTTTGAGTTTCAGTTAGAGGGATGTATTTATTCTGACACAACAGAAGTGCACAACAGTTGCAACCAGTCCAAAATCCCTACGGGGTTAAACTTGGAATCCTTCAGAACTATTGCATTTTTTGAAGTATAAGACACACCTACCTTTATTGGTGAGGAAACAAAGCAAAAAAAAAAAAAAAAAACTCCCTCTGCCTCTCCCAAACAGCAAACAGCCTGCTTTACTTTCAGTTTCATTTTCAGCATAGCTTGATTAGCACAAGGGGAAAAAAAATCTGCTCCAGCAATTTTCTTGCCTGCAGCAGAGCCCTGCACAAAACAGCTGAGAGTCGGGAGGCCCAATCCAATCAATTTGTGCTAATTAGGCTGTGCGGAAGCTGAAAGGAGCTGTTTTTTCTTGCTGTTTGCTTGCAAGGAGGTAACTGCTGCAAGGCAGAGGCCAAAGGGTGGGGGCCAGTGGGTGGGCGGGGCTACATTCGGTGTATAAGACGCACCTAAATTTTCACCCCCTTTTAGGGGGGAAAAAGATGCATCTTATACTCCGAAAAATATGGTACTTCAAACCAGGAACAAATTCACATGTATGGTGGATGAAAGCAGGTTTCCATCTTGATGCCTTTTCATCTTTACCTTTCATTATGCTCAATCTATTATTTGGGGGAAAAAAGGTCCTACATTTGTTGGACCTCATTTTTTCTAGGGTGATCATTTTTGTGTATCTCGTTTTTTCTACGCGTTTCACTTTTCTTCTTTATACTGTAACAGCGATTCTAATAGCAAACCCTTCATAAAAGTGATTGCATGACATTCTTGATTCAATTATCTTTCCATTGATAGATAATTTTATGGTACTACTCCAAAAAAAAAAAAAGAAAGAAAGTGGTGTTATTAGCTAGTTTTAGAAAATGCACTTTTCCCAAAAGGTTTGCACAATTTTGGCCACTACTGTACATATGGAAACGTATAACTAGGTATTTTTTTTCCCCTAACTACTTGTACAAGGGTTATTCTTTATATTATTCATGCTGTCTTGTGTTCTTGTATGGACTGCACCAGTAGTGGCTAAAACCAATTTCGTTGTATACTTGATGTACAATGACAATAAAGGCTTTGAACTTGAACACGAAGGGGGAAAAAAAATCCACACAATACTGTAACCCCTGCTAGTAAAGAGATAAGCAAAGACCTCCCCAAGCCAAATTCTTTTTCTAACCAGTTTTCATAAATGCAAGATATTCGCTCTTCTTACCTTATCCACTTTCTAACTTGAGAAGGGATCCATGCGATACAATGAAGAATTCTGCAAAAAACAGATTACAGTTGTCGTTAGCCAGAAGGAAAGCATTAAGACAGCAACATGATGTTCATACATCCAGCTACATCTCTCCCTCTCTCTCTCTCTCTCTCTCTCTCTCTCTGTGTCTCTCTGTGTGTGTGTGTGTGTGTGTGTGTGTGTGTGTGTGTAAATGTGTATTTGTGTGAGTATGTAAATGTCTGCCTCTCTGTTGTAGACACTGGTGCCAAACAAGGCATTCCATTTTACAGTTTTAACACAAAGAACACTCAACTTACAACAGTTTCATTTAGTGACTACGCTGGAAAAAGTGACTTATGACCGTTTTTTTCACACTTATGACCGCCGCAACGTCCCCGTGGTCACGTGATCAAAATTCGGATGCTCGGCAACTGGTTCAAGGTTATGACCATTGCTGTGTCCCAGGGTCACTTTAACAGATTATCAGAGTTGGAAGGGACCTTGCAGGTCATCTAGTCCAACCCCCTGCCCAAGCTGGAGACCCTACATCTGCCTCTACCTAGGATCAAACTCACAACCTCCTGATTGTGAGGCAAGAGCTCCACCTCTCGGCGACCGAGGCCTCCCTGCAAAAAAGGAGTGCCGGGGGGGGGGGGGGGGGGATGCCAGATTCACTTAACCACCAGGTGACTAACTTATCAACTGCAGTGATTCACTTAACAACCATGGCAAGAAAGGCCGTAAAGTGAGGCAAAACTCACTTAACGAATGTGTCACATTTGACGCTTGCTTGTCAGGAGGTCACAAAAGGGGATTGGGTGAGCCCTGGGGACCCGGTAACCGTCATAAATATGAGTCAGTGGCCAAGCGTCTGAATTTGGATCGCCGGTTGCTGTAACGGCCGTAAGAGTAAAAAATGGTCATAAGTCACTTTTTTTCAGTGCCGTTGCAACTTCGAACGGACGCTAGACGAATGGCTGTAAGTCAGAGGTGGGTTTCAGCAGGTTCTGACCAGTTCTGGAGAACCGGTAGCGGAAATTTTGAGTAATTCGGAGAACTGGTAGTAAAAATTCTGACTGGCCCCGCCCCCATCTATTCTCTGCCTCCCAAGTCCCAGCTGATCGGGAGGAAATGGGGGATTTTGCAGTAACCTTCCCTTGGAGTGGGAATGGAGATTTTACAGTATCCTTCCCCTGCCATGCCCACCAAGCCACACCCACCAAGCCACACCCACAGAACTGGTAGTAAAAATTCTGACTGGCCTCAACCCCCATCTATTCTCTGCCTCCCAAGTCCCAGCTGATCGGGAGGAAATGGGGATTTTGCAGTAACCTTCCCATGGATTGGGGTGGGAATGGAGATTTTACAGTATCCTTCCCCTGCCACGCCCACCAAGCCATGCCACGCCCACTAAGCCACACCCACAGAACCCGTAGTAAAAAAATTTAAAACCCACCACTGCTGTAAGTCAAGGACTACCTGCCTAGATCCAAGTGTCTCTCTTTTTTTAGGCACCCAATCCAGGGATCAATAATTTACGCATTAAAATAAACTGTTTAATCTGCATTGTGCCGCGCTTCCTACCCAAACAGATTGAACACAGCAACTGTGCTAACTTTGCAAAACGTCCGGGGCTCCCCCAACCAGCATTTTTGCTAAGCCTATTAAAAGAGTATGTAGATTTAGTTAATGACGTGCAAGGAAAACATGCAAATTAGCCGTGGTCTTTGTCTGGCCCTTGGCATTCCTCAAATTGTTCGCCCCCGGGAGGCCCGAAAAAATTCACAAGCGAAAGCGCGGAGCTCAAAGTAAACAAGGAAAACCAAAAACCCTTCTATCTTTCTTTTCTTTCTTAAAAATACAGCTGGTTTGGGTTGGGTTTCTTTTATGTTTTTGTGGGGTTTTTTTTCCAAAAAGAACTAGCAAAGCACAATTTGCAATGGAAGGAGAGAAAGAAAGAAAGAAAGAAAAAAGAAAAAGTAGCAGAAGACAATTTGCAATGGGAGGAAAGAAAGAAAGAAAAAAGAAGAAGTAGCAGAACACAATTTACAATGGAAGGAAAGAAAGAAAGAAAAAAAAGAAGTAGCAGAACACAATTTGCAATGGAAGGAAAGAAAGA